TATAGTTCATAAGTTACCTTATAGCCTAGGTGTGTTCGTAATGGTGAAGTGGATGTACCTGGATGAATTCACAAGTGGACGTGTGTGCTTGGATCACTGGTCTCTTAGCTTTAAATCCCCGCTCAGGTCTGGCCATTCCTGCCTCTGGTGAGTGCTCCTCGCCCGTTCGGGCCACCAGAGCACTTGCACTTTCAGAGCTCTGCACAGCTCCTGCTTGCTGTGGCTCTGCCCGTCTCTGTATCATTTCCCTTTCTGACTTCTCTTACTGTGCCCTCTCATAGCTTTTCATTTTTCTTCTTCCTCCTCTTCTTTCCTGGCCTCCATTACATTTTACCCCTTGTCCGCCAAGACGTGCCCCCTCAGCCTTCAGTGAATTCTTAGCCTCTTGCTAAACTTCCCCACTGTGGGCAGCTGGCACCCTCTGGCCATTTTACAGTTCCGCAAACTGAGAGAACACGAGAATCATTGAGGCTCTTGGGTTTTTAATTTGGAAGTCATGGGAGAGACAGTGAGAAGGTGGCCTTTGCCTGAGGTTTTTTGACTAATAGTAGAGCATGAAGTTGGCAGTTGTGTGCTGAAGCTGGATATTCAGCAGAGGAAGAGTGTGTGGCCAGGATAGGTCAAACTCAGGGTCAGAAACATGGAGCTCAGAGCAGAGGGTCTCTGAGCACAGATCTCATAGAATATTAGAGCCAAGGTAACCAAGACTGCCATGCCTGCTGCTCCTGTAGACTGGATTGGAGGCAGAGGACAAGCCAGGTCTGCTTTTATCCGACACGCCTCCCCCCTTCCCTGAGCTCCATTGTACTTGTCTTATTATTATTTTGTCTTTAAGACAAGAGTTCATTTGAAGAAAGAGTTCTGTGACTAAAGAAAAATGGGGGTGTAGGAACGAACACTGGTATTGTCCAAATCCTCATTTTACAAATGGGGAAATAGAGGGCGTAAGGGGAAAACTTTTTTCTGTACCCCAGGAAATGACACAGGAAAATATTAATGTAGAGGAAGAGAGGACAAGCTTCCTAAGAAAAAAAGGTCTGTAGAGATAGCGTCACAAGATGAATGACCTCAGAAGTCTATTTGAGAGATCGTGTCATGCTAGCAAAGTTCTAGGGACTGGAGCCTTTTCCTCCACGAGAGTATAAGAATGAAACACCAGTCCCTCAGTCTGACTCTCAGAGAGAACCTCAGGCTGATGAGCAGTAAGTCCAACAATTTCATTTCCTTGGCCATGCTGAACCCCACAGGAAATCTCAGACTTTCACATCAGGACAAGGCCCCACAAGAATGTCGCTGCACCCAGAGCTCCGTGGTTTGATACCACTAGAGAATTTCCTAGGGAAAGGCTCTGAGGGAGATTGCTCAGCAAGACAGAAAAATGCTGCAGTGAGGCCAGCAAATGCCTTCCTGGGACGCCTGGTGGAGGTTTGGGTTTAAAATGTCCCCTGGAGTTTAAACAGCATAGCCCCCTTGTAGCCCACAGCAGCCCTGTTCCTGAGTAGTTTCTCATGGATTTGCCACTTCAGGATGTGGGGAATTGGGATGGTTTGCTTTACAGTTTTACAAGTTGGCCTAATGAGGCGTAAGGGTCTGTACTGTTTGTGGGATAAGGCTTTGATGCCCATTGGGATCAGTGAGGTTTGAATTTTAGATCTATATATATCCAGGGGCAGAGGTTAGAGGGCAATGCCAAATACTACAAACAACCTTGAAGGAGAATGGTCAGTCTCTGCCTTTGCTTTCTTTGTAGGGTGTTCCTCAGCCATTTAAGCCGGCAGGAAGAATTAATTAAAAAGGAGCAGTGTGTGTGTACAAGTAAATCAGTAAGGCATCATTTCCCATAAAAAACACTTTTTAAAAATTTATTTTTATTGATTTCAGAGAGGAAGGGAGAGAAAGATAGAAACATTAATGATGAGAGAGAATCATTAATTGGCTGCCTCCTGTACACTTCCCACTGGGGATCGAGCCTGAAACCCTGGGCATGTGCCCCAAACCTTCCTGGTTCATAAGTCAATGCTCAAACACTAAGCCACACCAGCCGGGCAATAAACACATTTTTATCCAGCTGGTATTGAGTTCCTATTATGTACCATTCATTCTTCTAGACATGGACTATATCAGCAAACAGAACAAAGTCCTGCCCTCATGACCTTTTCTTAGAAGGGAGGACAGACAGACAAATTCTGCTTCTGGTGATGACAGGCGCTATGGAGGAAAATCAGGGTGAGAATAGCGACATAATCAAAAGGCATTTCCCATAAGGTGACATTGAGAAAGGCCGGAAGGAAGTGAGGGAGCATGTAATTTGGCTACCTGGGGAAGAGAGTTCCTACACAGAGAGAGCCAAAGGGCAAAGGCCAGGCAGGAGCATAGCAGGTGGACTGGAGGAGCTGAATGAGAGGGAGTTGTGGGCGGGGTGGTCAGAGAGTCAGCTGAGAACAGAACTACGTGGCTTTTTGAAAAGGCCTTGCTTTTTACTTAGGAGTAAAAACCCATTGGAGGCCTTTAAGTGTTAAAAGATGAGTCTGACCAATGTGGAGAAGAAACTCAAGGGGGTCAAGGGCAGAAGAAAGGAAAACCACTCATGGGGCTATTAATTCATTATGGTCAGACTCTGGATACAGGATTTGTTGATTGATTCCATGTCAGATGTGACAGAAGAGTCAAGGATGACATCAAAGTTTCTGTCTTGAGCAATTATAAGAATGGGGCTGTCATTTACAGAAATGGGGAAGGCTGGGGCCCACAGAATTTCTGGCTTGACTAAGTAGTTTTAGGAAGAAGTTGTGGAGATCCAAGGAGGAAAAGTTTGACTTAATCATTGGTTCCTTCATTTTCTCCATTCTCTCTGAAAGTCTGATTTGTATTTGGGTCAATTCTACCACAGTTTTCGGAGGGGGAGAAATATGGTTCCATGGTATTAACTTTTAAGGATCCTTACCCATGCCTGTACAGAGCAGTGTGGTCAGAGGCTCTTTGTGGGTAGATTCTGTCCCTGGTGCAGCCCTCATTTCAGGTGCCATGCTGGTTTCCTAGGGCTACATAACCAGTTACCACAAAGTGGGTGGTTTACGACAACAGAAATGTATTCTCTCATAATTCTGGAGGCTAGAAGTCCAAAATCAAAGTGTTGCAGGGCCCTGCTCCTTCGGAAAGGCCTAGGGAATAATTCTCCCTTCCCTCTTCTGAGCTTCTGGTGGTTGCTGACCATCCTTGGCTTATAGATACAATCCTCTACTCTCTACCTCCGTTGATGCATGGCATTCTCCCTTTGTATGCCTTTGTCTTTGTGTGGCCTTCTTATAAGGACACTAATCATTGGATTTAGGGCCCAGCCTAATCCAGTATGACCTCATCTTAACTCGGTTACATTTCCAAAGACCCTGTTTCCAAATTAAGTCCCAGTCACTGGTTCCAGGGGTTAGAACGTCAACACATCTTTTTATGAGACACAATTCAACCCACAACAGATGCTTTGATCTGGGTTTGATTATGAGAGTCTTTTGGGCTTAGATGTGTTTGAGGATGAGATAGGACCTATTGAAATCAAGTTAGAAAACAGGTCCCTCTGGGCTAGGGATGCCCCATCTGTTGGGATGAAAAACTTTTTTCTTGTCCAGCAAATTTAGGTAAACTGAAGATTTAAAAATAGACAAGTTCATTTTGCATTATTTTTTGAAACTTGAAGATTTTAGGATATGCAGTGGTAAAATCATGAAGAAGTCATGTCACTGGAAGACAGAAGGAATAGAAAATATAAAATGAAGAATTTTAAAGATAAGAATCACTTTGATTTTGACCTGAATTGAGGCCTGGATTATAGGTAGAAAAGCTCTTGCTGATGTTCCAAGTTTATGGTTTTGCTGGTTGGGGCAGCAAGTTGGCAGAAATGGAGTGCCGCACACCTGTGTCCCTGAGCCCTGACCCTTGGCTGACTACTGCAGAGTACAACTTGTTTGCTCCACTAGCCTTTTCCTTAGATTCCCACGGGGCTGGATGCTACATGGCACTATCTAGCTGCTGCTCCCCTTCTGTGCAACACCCAGTACATACACATTCTTCAGTGGTGTGTCAGGCGTTTATTAGCATTTCCTTCTTTTTAACTCACCGCAGTAGAGTCTAAAGGTTGTTTATCAAAGAAAGTTGAAGTTTCCACTCTGATATCACAATGATAGGACTATGTCAGGTCTAGCAATGTAATTAAAATTCTTTAGCAAGAACATACACTTGTGACCAACAAATTATGGTTCTATGAGTTTTTATGGTGCTCCTGTTGTTCGTAAGGAATTGTGTGGGAGTTGGACAGATGGGAGATAGGTAAAGAGATATTGCTTTTTCTCATCTTCAGGAAATTTGAAGAAAGAAGACAAACAGGAATTAGAGGTTCACACAAAAATTGATAAAGATTGGTGGATGCCACAATATTTGGCACCTGCAGGAAAAAAATCTCTAAATGTATTGTTTAATAAGTATCTGGGTGGAGAGTGGGAGAAGCTAGAGGCAGGGATATGTAGTGAGGTTTAGTGGCACAGGCCTCAAGTGATAGTGGGATTAGATTTTCTTGCAAGGCCTATCGGACCAGGCTGCTCACCTGTCCTTTGCCCTAGCCTTTCCCTGGCTCTTCTGGGCACTCTAGTGGTCAGTGTGAAGCCACAGCTGCTCGTGTGAAGGGGTAGGTTTGAGAGAAGGGCACTGGCCGCATCTGTACCGCCTGAGCCAGTGCTCTGCATTACTGGCTTAGTCACACACATCCTTGGAGGGGATTATTTTGAGTTTTCCTCAAAAAGGGAGCCTTCATTTCATGTCTGTTAAATGGGAATGCAGCCACAACTATGTCTTCAGGGCAGGGACCAGTGGTGAAGCCACCATACTTCTGGGGTGACCACAGGGCAAATAATGTACAGACATCATTTCCTTTGACTAATCTTTTGTAATCCTGGTCCAGATGTGGCTCCTGAAAGTAAAGTTCTTTGTCTAAGTTGAGATTTTTAATTTAGGACCCAGATGGGGAAGGAGGTAAACTTCCAGAGGGTCTGTTTTCCTCAGTGTGTCACTGTCCTGGATTCCTGGCAGGCAGCAGTTTCATTAGAAAAGCAGATTTGATCCTGACTCATCTGCCTCGGTGAGATGTGTGGTACAACTTTTTAGGACTCATGAAGCCTGTCGTCTCGCTGGACAGAGCAGAGGGTACACGGTCCATTCGGCAGTGGTGGTGGCTACTGGACCTGGCTGGGCCCATGGAAAACCTTGAGAGACAGTCTGCTATGGGGCTGGAGCTTTGTCCTGGAATTTCCTGGCCTTTGTCTGGTGTAACTTCATGTACCCAGACGCCTGTTTTTAGAGTCTACTTCCTTCTAGGGCCGTAGTCGGCAAACCGCGGCTCGCGAGCCACACGTGGCTCTTTGGCCTCTTGAGTGTAGCTCTTCCACAAAATACCACATGTGGGCATGCACGTACAGTGCGATTGAAACTTCGTAGCCCATGCACAGAAGTCAGTATTTTGTGGAAGAGCCGGTATTTTGTGGAAGAGCCACACTCAAGGGGCCAAAGAGCCGCATGTGGCTCGTGAGCCGCGGTTTGCCGAGCCGCAGTTTGCCGACCACTGTTCTAGGGGAAGAGTGCTACTGCCTTCTACTCTGCTTTCTGTACCAAGTGACCTCCTCCCCCCGCGGGTCAGGGATCAGGTGTGTGTACCTGGCTCCCAATCAACAACATGCTCCTGGAAGTCACTGGTCACAGAGGAGAAGCCATGACCATTGGGCATAAAAGTCGTATCTGCCAACCCGGCCCATTCACCCTAACCTTGTTTCTTACCTCACATTGCAGCAGAAAAAATCCTACCTGGAGCGCAGCGTGAAGGAAGCTGAGGACAACATCCGGGAGATGCTGATGGCACGAAGGGCACAGTAGGAAGCCTCTAGGGAAGCTTTCCCTCCTGACCCCTCCCATTCCTGGCAAGGACAAGGGGCTTGTGTAGGGAAATAGCGTCTGCTGTACCTGATGGACGTTTTATCTGGATGGCCTGGTAACCCTATGTTTTCTACATCACCCTGAGCCCCTTTCAAATCCCAAGCCCTTATTTTTTATCCTGGCTCGCCTAAGACATTCTTCTCCCCTGGGCGTGAGTCCTGAACTCCCAGGAGAGGGGAGATGGGAGCCAGGACAGGTAGGGGAGCTCTGCCCATGCCCGCTACTAGTCATGCTGGTCAGACCAATAAAAGGCATCTGTGCCACTCTTCTAAGTTTGCTTTTCTTGATCTGATGGATGAGAACAGAGAGGCAGAGGCTATCTCTACCTGAGCTCCTCCCTGTCCCTCTCTAGGGCTGGGGCCCTGCTCCTTCTGCATCGAAGTCTTCCCCACTTCTTTTTTCCTCTCTGATCCTTCAAGTAAACCCTTCAAGCTCACAGCCTCCATGGAATGTGCAAGTAGGAAAGGAGACCAGGGCATAGCTGAATTTTAAGTGAGGACAGCAGTCCTTGGTGGCAGGATGCCTAAAGATTCCTTTCCTGCTTTTTCCCCAAATATCCCATATAAGCCAGCAGCACCTCCAAGACTGTCTCCCTTCGGTCATAAGGTGGACACTATAATTCTGAGGCCTCCTAGAGGCCCAGGGGCAGTGGTGTGTTGGAGCTGGCTTATACTGGCTCAGGAGAGCTAGTTATTCAATTTTCAGGAATTTTGTTGCAAGCCAGTTGTTAAACGCAGCCATTATTAAAAATTAAATTATGTAACTTTACAATTAAATTATTAAAGAACAAGGGTAATAAATATTCAAAACATCTCTCTAATAACTAAATCTGCCTGTGATCTTGTTTTTGAGGTTAACAGTCTTATATCTGGACGGTGGAACCACTACATAAACAGTGCACTTTTGTGCTTCTCTTCCCAACTCTACTCTCAGGACATCATGGGAACTTGAAATCAGCTATGGTGGGACCATTTACTCCACAGAAATCAGGTGATGCTACAAAATCATGGCGTTTTGTTTATTTTTAAAGAGAGAGAACTGGTAGTTAAATATTTATAAGCATATCACCACTTGCAGCGGTTCTCAACCTGTGGGTCGCGACCCCTGAAAATACACCCTGCATATCAGATACTTACATTACGATTCATAACAGTAGCAAAATTACAGTTATGAAGTAGCAACGAAAATTTTATGGTTGGGGGTCACCACAACATGAGGAACTGTATTAAAGGGTCGCGGCATTAGGAAGGTTGAGCACCACTGGCTTAGCGGGAAGGTGGGCAGGCAGAGGAAGGCAGGGAGTTGTCAACTGCAGCCTCTTGGGGCTGGCAGGGCAGGCCCTTAGGGGAAGCTCTGACTCGCTGTTCTGGCAGCTCAGCGCCACCCTGTGGCCAAAGCTAAGATGGTGGCATGGCTTACTGATTTGAATTATGCCAGCTTTTTGCGTGTGCGCATGTGTGCATGTCAGCAGGAAAAGAAAGCTTTGGGTCTGGCCGAACTCTGGACTCCTGTTCTCCTTCCTGCCAGAGACAGCCCATAGTTACCAAGTTACCAAGTAGACTTTACTAGGCTCTGGGTAAAAGTGGGTCTGGCTCATTGGTGAGCCCGTCTTTGAATGGGACTAGGGAGAAAATGCTAGCTTGGTGAGGGCCCCATGATCTGACTGAAGGCCCCAGCCTCGGACCTAGTTTCCTAATAACACCCACCCTGCTCATATAGCAGCCAGAATGAAAAGGTAAATATGCCCCTCATCATATAATGGACAGTGGCCACTAGCTGAGATACCCACAGCTTAAATTTTACCTGGAATAATTCAGACAGTTGAAGTTCAGACAAATTTATTGAAACATACAGGGTGTTAGCAAATAAATCATTCAGTGATATGTTACATTATGCCACTACCTTGAATTGTATACTTTAAAAATTATAAATATATATTTCATAACTAAGCCTTTGGCCAAAAAAAATAAAAGGGAAGTCATTTAGCACATTTGTGAAAGGCCAATAGGAAATGAATTTTGAACATTAGAAAGATAAAGTCACTGGATTAAACATCAGTAATCTAGAATCCCACTGTGTTGAAGGTAGAAGTGTCTGTGCAGAGCTAGTCATTTATTTTAGCAATCAGAAGAGATGGGGCAGGCACACCTGTTGGAGGTGGCAGAAGAGCTGGCAGGACAGCAGGGACAGGCTGGTCAGGTGAGCATGTCCCAGAGACAGCAACAACAGAGAGCAGTCCAGCAGGCTGTGAGGCAGGAGGATGTGCCCAGGTCATCCCTTCTTTGGTCTTCTACCACATACACTGGAGTGGAGAGAGGGGAGAGGGTGAGAATGAATAGCACAAACCTTGGGCCCTACAGAGCCCATGCCTCCCAGACCAGGTGCCTTTCTGCTTATGCCGTTGTGGATAATGGAGGGAGGAAGGGGCTGAGCTCCTCAGCTACTTCCCCTCCTCCTCCTCCGGACACTGATTCCTGCAGGGACAAGCACTAGGGAACCTATACTGCTGCCTGGCACCAAGGCAGCCAGAATTTAGATAAGAAATGTCCATTGCGATCTGGCCGGTGTTGGCTGACCCAACTTGGTTTATAAACCAAGCAACACTATTAGTATGTCCTGTACCCTATAGATGTCTGGGGGAATGTTTCTTTAGATACAACTAAGCCCCTTCCCAAAAGAGAGAATAACCAAAATCTCCTAGAAAGGTGCTTTAGTCCCTAAAAGAATAACCAAGAATCTTAGTTTTTCATACCTGGGCAATGAACAGTATCAGAATGTGCCCCGACCTCTAAACTTTCACACAACACCATGGAAGGCAGGGATGAAAACCTGGTCTAGTGGGAGTGATGCCCGGAGCCTAACATGCTTCCTTTTTCTCAGAATGGAGTTGGAAATCTAAGCCCTGCCAGGACTAAGTGCTCTGTTAAGAGATTTGAGTGCAAAACAAATCCATAGGTCAAGAAGGACCCCAACTGATTTGTGGCCTCCCTTCCCATAAGGACATCCTTAAAATGCTGGTCTTCCTTGGCCTCAGAGAATCTGGGCCACTTTTAAGAAAATCTCAAAACCACCACCATCAGACTTAGTTATAGGCAGTTAAGATTTTAAACTTTCTGAAAGTTCATGAATCTTATAAGTTAAACCAGTCCTTTGGCAATCTTCTTTCAGTTCTATTTTTTGCGTATCTATTTTTATATCTCCTCTCTGGGTAACTTCCTCTCTCTGGAGCCTAGTATAGTAGCTAGAATATGCCGGGTTAGTAGTGAGCTTTCCAAGTTCTCCCATTGTATCAGTGGCCCTCCACCGAGATATCCCCTTCCCTTCTCTTAATCTCAGTGTGCTTTCATTTGGCCCCACTCAGCATCACAGGTGAAGTTGTTTGGGGTCTGGGACACAAGGCTCATCACCAGGAAAGCTTAGTTGAAGAGAAGATAACCCATTTGTTCTGAGGCCCGATAAAGGTGTGTTACCTGACTTAGTCCTAACAATAACCTTGAGATAGATTTTCCATCATTCCTATTTCACATGTAAGGAACTCTAGGTTTACAGAGCTTAAGTTCTTGTTCAAACACACATGACCAGGCAGGGGCAGGATCTGAACTCAGGCCTTTGACAAGCTAGGCCTGCCCAGGTCCAACTAGGATAGAAAAGGGAGTAGGAGTGAATGGGCTCTAGGGCAGTCCTCTCTCACACCAGGCAGAGCCCACCCTACCCACTGAAGGCCCGGGCACTCCAGACTCAAGTCACTGCAGCAAGGTGTCACCTGCCATCTGCCTAGATGACAGGGAAACTGGGGACACAATTGGCTGTGGAACCCCTTGAATAATCCCTTCCTGTAGTTGCACTGGCTCTGCTGCCCTGGGATAGAAAGACCCCCTCCCCTGCCAGCTCTAGAAGTAGCCTGCTTGATCCAGGCCTGAGACCCAGCCCAAGGTTGGGTTGCCATGTGAAAGGTCCTGCTGTTTCTCTTAAGCTGCCATTTATTAGGGTGTTCACAGATGTGCCAGGACCAGTGCTGAGGCCTTGCATACACAGTGCCACTCAGTCTTCCCAACCCTGTCCTCACCGCTTCTATCCTGTCAGAACCACTGAACCGCAGGAAGCTTAGTCAGGAACACAAAAATGTCCCCGTCTCACTTCCTCTGTCACTTTCTCCTTTAGTTCAGTTTGTCCTTGCCAGGGTGTATTTCACATGACATACTCCGAAACCTGGGGCGGGAAGTACTCTGAGCTCATTACTCCCAGACACTGTCCACAGAGGTTAGAAATAACCAGTCTGGCTGTAAAACAGAGGACTTAGACCAGAGGGCTGCGTCGGCCTCCACAGGGGTGGTCAGTGCTGTACATACCTTGGAAACCCGAATCACTTATTTTCTGGAGCACCAAGTCTTCCAAAGCCCTTGTGACTTTTTCCTTTCCATTAGCTGAGGACAGAATCTCTGCCCCCAAACTGTCAAGAAGATGGGGTGGTGGAAGAGTACATGGGGGCCAGGGCAGGTGTGGAGGTAAAAGTGACTTGCTCTGAGGAAGACCTCACAGTTCCTCATAGTGTACCCACTGTGGGCCCAGAAACGGCATACTTTACATCTGTATCTTCCTAGATGCCTTACCTACCTGGAGGGTCCGAGGGTGCCTGCTGCATTGAGTTGCATGGCCTAGTCTGCCCCGGGACACCACTGCTCCTCACCTTCCACTCGTCCCCATCCCTGCCACCCAATGGATGACTGAGAGCTCCACTACCACCCTGGCTGACCTGCCAGTGTGCAGCCCCTGCTGCCTGAGTCCTGGGCCATGACACCCACCCTGGGTACTCGAAGCCAGGGGACGCATGTGCACTGAAGTCACTAGCGGCATTGGTTACAGCAGGGGCTGAGGTGCAGGTGACGCCAGTGTACGTATTCCCTACCCAGGCCACATGGCCTTCCTGGCCACTGGTCTCTCTGGCATGCAGGACAAAAAAAGGGGCAGAACTATGGCTATGTAAGATGTTAAACATTAGAGGAAGCTGGGTGAACAGTATACAGAAACTGTGCCATTTCTGTAACTCTTATGTAAGCCTAAAGTTATTTGAAAATAAAAAGTTTAAAAAAAGGAGGGGGCGGGGAGGGAGGGTCAAAAAGCAGCGGGGGTTGGGAGCAGGCAGTTCAGCAGTCAGTGCCAAGGTACAGGGAGAGGTTCTGGTGCCAGCAGGGGCTGCTCAGATTGAACTCCTTGGAGATCAAGTGCCCCCCTGTGGGCAGCTTGGGGACAAGGAAGGGTAGGGCCAATCTGT